ATATATATATATATACTTTAAAGCTTCTCTCTCTTCCTTATTCATATATTCTGATGGATTATCTTCAGATATAGCCCATAATGTCTGTATGCTGCATCCCACAAACAACAGTCCCCAAATAAGAGCATTACAAGCCATTGTTTGCTAAAAAAATAAATTTAAATTCTCTTTTGTCAAGATCGCAAACTCCTAATAGTGCACATGGTCCACCAAAAATTTTTCCAACTAATCTATCTCATTCCAACGATTCCATCATTATGGAAAATGTCAACGGAAATGTGTACCATTCCCTCAAGATTTTTTCCGTCTTTCCCTTTTTGCTTATTTCTATATATTTTTTTCCATGGGACATTATCGTCTTTCAATCAAATTGATGACACATATCACATTACATCAAATCCGATGAAACTTGCAAGTTTTAGTTATAGACCTGTCACACTTCAGTCAAATGGCAGGAATAAATGTAATTTTCATCAAACTATAATTACGAATAATTTAAGTTTAATAAATCATTTGTCGAGTCTCTTCTCTGATAATCGATGATATATTAAGATTGATTAGAATATAACTGACAAACGGAAAGATGAATTTATAAAATGAATTGTTGTTATTGGAAGATATATAAACAGCAAGCGGTAGGGACAGCTGATTGTGTATTTTCATCAAGGCCAGATGATGTGGCTGCAGTCAGTTCGTCGACGTGATTCTTCGTTTTGTAATACGACATATATGTCCTTCACCAATACGTTTTCCACGTAACTAATTTGTTCGCTCCTTGTTTTCTTGGATGATCTCGCCAATTTTTGTAAAAATACACTAATTCTTTATGTTTCGCTGTGTTAACTGAAGACAAGTGATAGCAATCTCTCCACATCAAACATGATTATCGCCATTTAATAACCTCCAATAACTCTAAGCCCAGATCCTCATGCAGAATCCGGTCAGAGATAAGAGAATCAAGGGAGAGTGATGCGAGATGTAGAAAATTGGAGCGTTAATGTTCTCTTTTCTGATTGGATCCGCCATTTTTAGCTTAATTTACGCCCAAATGGATGCATCCAGAATATGGTGAAAAAGATAACATGAGTTGCGTCCGGGGCCACTTTCACTAAGCTCCGATTAACTTAACGGGCTTAGTAACTTTGCAGGTTTCCAACTGAAACTGATGTCGGAGAAAAAAATGTGAACTAAAGAATTAAACATATTTCACTAATTATAATTAATTGTAATTTTACATATTATATTGAACACAAAAATAAGTTATTAACAAACAGCTACCAGAGAGAAATCTGGCTATATAAGTATTACAAATCTATATTTATAACTTCTCTCTTTGCATTTTTTCTCCGACATCAGCTTCCGTTGGAATCCTGCAAAGTTATTAAGGACCGGTTGTTTCATCTTTTAGTAAATTTTACCTATTGGATAAGTAGCAAGATTACCCAATCATGCGTGGATTACCAGATTTACCTCATAGATAAAATTCTTTTTTCTAATTGGTCCATCAAACGCTTCAAACGCTTCAAAGCATTTGTAGCGAGACTTCGACCGCAGCCTTACGTATACCAGCCTCCGGTATACCAGCGCGATGTTCGTCGCGCATGACACGTGATATCCAATGAGTGTACATGTGTTTTAATTCTAAAGGTATATTCTGATTGGATATTGCGTGTCGTGCACGACGAATATCACGCTAGTGTGCCGGAGTCAATAAACAGAGATTCATAGGCGGAGATTCAGAGAGAGATGTTTGCAAATTGCACACACCATGTTATCTCTTCCATCATGATCCAGAAGCACAACCGCTCACTGAAGACATCGATGAAATACTATTAAAGATCGTCAACCCTGGGCAAATTTTCAGCGGTATAAAAAAGGTCCGAAGATAATTGAAGAACGCTGACGTTATCGATTTCGTAATTGATATAAATTTGCTATTATTAACAAAAATATTTGATTCATACATTATTAAATTCATGATTTTTTATTACATAAATGTTCCATAAATAAATATGCATACTTGTAAAGCTATAATATCCTATATATTGCAGAAAAATTACAATTATTTCTCTGCAGTTATCATTTCTGTTAATAATCAAACTTTGATGATAACATTGAAATAACAATTTTCAAAGAAAAATCGAGTATTATTGAGTTCTAAATGCATAAATACGTCTACTAAACTAATAAATCATAAAATTAGTTAGAATATTATCAGTTTTTTAACTCTTAATCGCTTCAATATTCACAAGAACGCGAACTCCCGTAAGGATGGCGGATTTTAATAGTATCTCGTCGAAAGGTAAATTTTCACGAATTGCTCAAACCAGTTGTTTTAGCGATATGATATTCGTCAATTTTGACCACGTAATCGTTTTTGTCATTGAAATAGCCGGTTTGAATAGCTCGTAAAAATTTACCTTAAGACTGTGTTCTTTACTCTCACAACGCTTTAAACGTCGTTTCATCATTGTTGTTTATTAAATATTAAACAAGGACAATTGATGCTCACAAGCGCTGTAAGCGACAAAGCGAGCGCAGCCTAAAGCCTATTTTACAATGTATTCTTTGTTTCCTGCCTCTTGCTTTTTCCATCTTTGCAATCGTTTTATCGACAATTGTACGTTATATGTTTCCTGTTTCTTTCGAAGTTCGTATCGTCAGTACGAAATAAAATTCTGCTTTCTGATTGGTTGCAGAACGTCATACGACGCACGTCAGATCCAGTGTGAATCCAGCAAATGAATGTCGAATGACAGATGTCGTACCTATTAGTGTGAATCCTGTATTTCAAGTATGGGTTCATTTGGAGCGACCTCGAGCAGCTCCCGAGAGACAAAACGAACAATACTATGGTATAAAGACGAGAAATTTGTTCGCATGCTCCAAATTAATCCAGAGAGCACTTGGGTCGCAGGTAAGATGGCGGTTGGGGCAGTTGGATTCATGTGCCCGAATGTTCAGTAACACAAGATTTAGGACAAATGAGCATGTCACCTAACTTAATCCGTAAGACTCGAGCAGGTCGGACTAAAGCTCTATATTAATAAAGTAGCGCATTTCTTTGATCTGAACAGAAATGCCAACAACTTTCCTATTATATAGCCTTTGGCTATTTCGACCGCCATCTTGGACCTAATTGTCTGTAATTCAATAAGCGCTTAGTATTATTGGTACATAGTATGGTTATTACGTCCAATATGAACGTAATATAAACGTCCTTTTGCGCTACTTTATTAAAGCTTTAGGTCGGACATGTGCCTCGTTTTGTTTCGGGTATTTCGATTATTATTTATTATTTACTATTATCTCGATTATTATTTATTATTTACTATTATATATTATATATTGTTATTATATATTAATATTTATTATTATTTACTGAAAAAATTATTTTTCACAATATTATTGATATTGTTAAGAAATAATTTTACAAGTTAATGTTAATTTTAAGTTTATAGGTTGTTTAATAATGCAGACTGAAGTCTATCAGGAAGTAATCTTTCGATCATTAATTGATCTGTATTCTTATGTTTTATGTATTTGCGGTTGTTTCGAGGTTTGATGCTTGATGTTCGTTTGAATATATATTTTGTCGTGTGTATATACAATACGATCATCTTAATCCAGATAATATAGGATATATTCTGATTTCTACAGTAAAACCTGTATAAATCACTAAAATAATTTCAACAGATACAATATTTATACAATTATTTAACTACGTAATAAAAATATTATTAAAGTACTATGAGGGTAATTCTCAAGAATTCTATTCTTTTTCATCATCGATTTTGATGAAATTAGGCTACGTTTTTATACAAAATGAATGAATCAGAAAAACTTGTTTTTTTGATACAGTACGTTTTCAAACATTACGCATACATGCGTAACATGCTCTAACCGTACTATCTTCTCAGGTGAGGCAAATGGAGCGTGCTCTTAATTGATCCATGTAATATGCTCTAACACGACACCAACATCTAGTCGCCATATTAGTTCCGGTGCCGTGAACGTATTGGAGTGCGTTGGACATATTGGAGCGTGCGATCTGAACCTCTGACAAGATAACAGACAAATTGAATATTTCTGATTTATTTATGTCTATATAATTTGAGAATCGTTTTGGAGAAATTTGGAAAAAGCATTTAAATATTTGGATAATAGTATTTTTCTTATTATTAATTTTATCATGCGTCAAGTTAGTAGACAGCGATTTTATTTAATGTATTTTATGAATAGAATTAATCAGCGTTGGGTTTGATACACATTCTGAAAGTTTGATACGTATGATACGTACAATTGCGTATCATACGTAGAATACATATCAAACTTGTATGATACCTTTTTTTAATATTATATAATTTGTTTAATATAACTAATTTGTTAATTTTATTAACTAAAAAACAATGTTTTTAGGCTTTTGAAGTTTTGAAGTATTATATATTGCTGATTGGAAATAACTCCAAAGCTTTCCAGTTTTATTAAAAATGTAGTTTGCAAATAAAAAACGGAAAAGAACTAATATTGAAAATATAAGTGCAGTATATACATAAATTTGGTATTTAATAATATTAGTAATTAATTGTAATTTTTGCTCTTACCGGGTCAATTTAATTTGAAAGTACATCCCAATCAGCGAAGAAATGTTTCAGAAATGTTTTTAAACGTTTTTTTTATTGCAAAAAAAGTTTAAAAATCATTTAAAAAACATTTAATTAATGGAATAGATCCTTTTTTATTAATTAAAAAGATGTTTTTTACATTTAAAAAACATTTTTTAAGGTTTAGGAAACATTTATTTAATGTTTAAAAAAACATTTCTTTAACGTTAAAAAAACGTTTTTCAATGTAAAATTATTTCAACAAAATTAGAAAAAATAATGTAGAATTATTTTTTTAATTAATTTTTTTTATTAACAGTGCCTAAACCTTAGAGTGCCTTAGGCAACTAATTTTATTAATTTCCAATTATTTTAATCTTTTTTACTTACCGCGGCCGCGCGCGCGGGTTTTGAACCTGGGATCCGCACTTAGTGTGTGCAGTTGAATAGTGTCTTTTTCTAAATCTCTGCCCTCTCTGTTTATGGACTGTTCATAAGGTTCAAGGGCTACCAAAGTGAAAGTTGTGAAACGCGAAACATGGAACGATATTCACCGTCCGTTCTTATTTCAAAACCATCTTAAATAATGTCTTAAAATGCTAATAGGATTGACTTATGACATCTTAAGATTGTACTTAAAACAATCTTAAATGTAAGAATCGACTATGTAAGAATATCGACCTGTTTCGCATCGTGAAGTTGATATTGAATTTGTTCTTGCATAAGGAAAGATTCCTCCTTATTTATTCCTTCCATCATGGCAGAAATCGAGCAAGATCTGCCATTTTCATATACAGCCTTGCCACGAAATGAATTTGCTTCTCGTAAAAAGAAAACGTCCAGAAGTCCTATAAGAATTGGCATATGTAAATCGAATAGGCTAGATTCCCAAGCTTTTTCGGCTATTATATTTTTTGACTATTTTATAACTTTCTTATATATATTTTGAAATGTGGAACTAATCGATAATATTTTAGCAATAAAACTTTATTGATTGTTTCCAGTTTTTACACCAGTGTATATATATATATACATACATATATATATACATGTGTGTATAAGCATATATGACGTTAATATATACTTGTATGTATGCAAAATTTCTTATAAGAAACCTGGTCGATTTAAATGAAAATGACAAATCTTGCTCAGTTTCTGCTATCAAGTTTTATTATCAGCAGACTACTCGATTTTTGCTCGCAATCTGCTATCAGATTCTGTCAGCAGGTTCTGTTCGATTTTTACTGCCAGTCAGTTTGCATAGAATGTTAACAAGTTCTGTCGGCAGAACAGGAGCAAAATGCGACTTCAGTTGTGGTCTGATAAAATCTTTTCAATCAAATTTGCTAC